CTTTTGTCGCCCATTCGTCCTAATGGGATATAATCAATTATGGGAACGCTTGGGTCCGTACCAGTCAGCCTATTCATTCCTTCAGTGTCCCCAATTGGTCCTACGACGCAGAAGAACGATGATTAATTACGCCCTATTAGGGGCTAAACACAAAAAATAGGTATTCTTACCTGGAGCTATCACATTACTTCGTACACCCCTAGGGCCCTCCTCCACGGCAATCACTGCGGACAATGCGTCAACGGCGGCCTTGGCCGCTGACACATGGGCTTGGTAGGGTGTGCCTGCAAGGACAGGTCAATTGCGCGCATAAACTTGATGCGCAATGGGCTATCCTACCCTGGTGGTGCAACAGGGCGCTGACATGAATGTACGACCCTCGGGTCTGGCGAATTTGGGACAAGGTCGCTTTGACGGTGTTGAATGTTCCAAGCTGCATTTCAACCGTCAATATCGGTAGCTCCTTCGACAGCGTAGATAGCCATCTCACCGTATCGATTTCAATGACCGTTCGGAAAGCGTTTTCTGAGAGACCGCTGATAGGGGCAAGGAAATTTCCGGCAGCGCCGCAGATGACAAAGTCGATCTTGCCAAAGGTCTCAACTGTTTTCGCGACCGCAGCCTTCAGCTGCTCCGGACTCCTGACGTCGGCCTGTGCGGCTATGCAACGTTGCCCGGTGGCGCCAGAAAGCTCCTTGGTGGAAGCTTCCAGACGATCCAACCTTTCGCACAACGCGATCAGCCTGCGTGAGCCGTAGCTAGTATTCGATGGTGCTTACTTTCGACCAACGATGGCTGCTGAAGCTCCGTGTCGCATCTTTCATCGGATTGGATTGTTCGGTCAGCCACTATGACGTGCCCCCCGCCGCCGATCGAACAGTCCCTCACAATTGCCTCGGTCATGGACTTGCAGATTCCACTACCACCTCCTGTGCAGAATAATACCTTGCCTTTGAATATGTCATCTCGAAAGACAGCAGTCGAGGGTGGGGGTGGGGGTGCAATAACTTGTTGTATTGGAGCCATGGTAGAAAACGCGTTGGGTTGTTTCTTTGTCAGGCTTTGCTTAGCCCGCCAAACCTATAGCAGCGAACGCAAGGGTAACTGAGGGGAGGAGAGGGAGTCGTAAAGGTCGAGTTTGTGAGGTAGAGAGTGCGCAATATAGAGCGAACGACCGGGCATCGTCGCCTATACCACATCATGTGTGCTGAGACCGGCAACCTCAATAACCGACGCGTTCGGGCTTGGGCCGAACGGCCGCCCATACTTGTCTGGCGCTGTCCCCGATTGCCATTACCATTCACTCTGACGCACTCGAGAATCGAGATGAGAACCGTAGTTTTCAGAACGCTTAACGGGGTGTCAGTCAGGGAGAGCAACCACCGAAATACCCGGGCGCCCTGAGGTGCGCTCTGAGCCTCTTTCTTTCGCTCTCTGCTCAATCCTCACATTCATGATGTTGTCCTGACGATCGAAGAGCTTAGGGTAGTGCAGGGTCTGGAAGTCTTCCTGGCGATTGGAGGCAATCCACCTGTGGCGTGAGCGGAAACCCTTGGAGGTTAGTGCAAGTTGCTCCGCACGAGCTGGGTGAATCGTGTCCAGGTCTGTGGTAGCCTGGCGTATTGCGCCTCGCACGAAATAAAATTTAGCATTTCGACCTTTTCCCAAAACGAGACAGCGATCAAAACTCTGGCTGTTAAAACTATTTGACTGGCACGTTGCGACCCCTCTTTTTTTCTTCCCTTTCTCTGGGTTGATTCAACGGTGTTCAAAAGCGCGAACAAATACCCGGACACAGGAAATTTCAATCGAGACCTTTCGTCCCTCCATGTCCTCCGTGTCGAGCTCGTCAAGGTCACCATCACCAGAGCCCATAGAGCTCCCAGCTCAGCTATCTGAGCTATGCGAACTAACAGCTAGCAAGCCAGAGTCCTTAGTCCATGGCGACACCGATATTCAGGCGGCGGCATTGAGGGCGACCAAGTTCCTTTTCGACCGAGGTTCGCACTAACTTACGCGCAATACTTGGCGAAACAACCAATTATAACTATTATCGTGCACAGGGGTACTCTCAGAGGCTGGTGCTGCACCGACAGTGGATGAACTCCTCAAGTCCATTGAGGTCCCTCAGGCTCCGGTCACCCGTTCACAAGTCGCGAAGCAGAAGGCGGGTCTTGCACCTCCACCAAGAGAGCCTATAAGGTTCGGTCGAACACCGCTGACCTCATTGGTGCTGGATGGTATGGGAGCCGACCAGATATGGGCACAGCTGGAGTTGAGAGCGAAAAACGTACGCCACTCCCCCCGCATTTTAGCTGCTATACATTGTTCCCTGTCAACCGCATCTCAAAAGCACCTGTCCTTCCTCACCCGAAAATAGGTCTGTGCAATTTTGGATTCGATTATCGACCGCGAGCCGGACGACGATGAGCCTGATGAGGGAGCTGAAGGCGAGGACATGGATGTAGACCAGGGCGTAGGACCCTCTGGTTCAAACGGCCTGACCCGACCCTTCGGGGTTGATGACGAGGAAGAAGAGGAGGAAGATTCCGAGGAGAGCAGCGATGAGGAAGACTTGGGAGAGGACATCGTCAAATTACGAGACCATGAGGAGGAAGAGGAACAACAGCTTGTGGTTGGGCCAGAACGGCCGCGCCGGCGTCCCCAACTACCGATATGGAAAGGGCCTCGCCACCCAACTCTCGACGACGGCTTCTTCGGGATCGATAAATTCAACCGCGATACGGAGCTTATGGAGGCCAAATCCCGGAGCCGAGGGCGTTTAGGCGGGGATGAGGACGATTCGGAGGAGGAGGAAGATATTGATCTTTTT